GTGGCGCCGCCAGCGCGGAGAGAGTCAGATGTGGAAATTAAATTAAGAAATTGAATTCCGCTTAGCAGGAATTAAGGGAATGTCACATAGATGGCAGAGGGGAAGGGAACATCCCGCTGAAACGGAGGAAGTTCGTAGATGCTCGTAGTAGTGATACAGGCAGTCGATAACCCTGAGTGGATGTCTCACTCTCCATACTCTTCTCCTACTTAGAGGTTTTAGTTGCATCACATGAAGAGGTGATTTAAAATCTGCAGGAAATCTTGTATCCCATCAAACGTAGATACTTTCAGAAAGAAGAGTCCAGCTCTTCCAGTGAAAACTAGTCCAGCTAGCTTTCATCCAGCGATCTTGAAAGAGTTGGATAAGGAATTATTTAGGGTGGGATTTTGTTAAGTATTAAATATGAAGGAAGTTCCTGAACATGGAAAAAGCACTAGTGCTCCGCCAGTTTTCAAAACACCTTGCCAAATGTCCCGTGCAATTCTTGAATGCTAGGAGTGACATCCACCACAGGCAGAGTAGAGAATATATGTAGATCATACGCTAAAGAAAATAAAAAGTACAGATACCATTAATATCAGTTATCCCACAGGTTTAATGAAGCAATCCTGATAGCCTTGTTCAGTGAGGTAAATTGACAAGAGTAACTGCACAAATGTAATGAATCTACAATTCATAGTCATTATGCAAGACGATCTCTTGGAGTGCTGTGGCTAATAGTGTATATACTTCTAAGAGTTAATGTTGCATCTGCAGCATCATACAACTATATGTATGTCCTCATTTTTGAAAGAGCTGAAAAATTGTAAAAGGTTAATATTCATAATATGGGGGGCTTCCAGAGTTCTGCAGCCTCAATGTAGTTAGAATTTTTCATCAAAGATCAAAATAAAGTCTCTGTTAATAAAATCTGTGGATGTCCTAAATGGTGATCCAGTTAGTTACAGTGAGGACTGTACAAAATGATCCAGACTGTTTGGTCGAATTAATGCTTTCAAACAGGTCTCTACAGCCACATGCAAAAACACACATGTGGACAGGGAATACAAACCTTCTCTTCAGAATGAGAGCTCATGTCTTGGAAAAGATTGTCCAAGAACAATTTGGAACAAACTGTTACAGATAAAGTCCCAGGACAGTGTGTCAGATATGATTGCTGGGTGTATTAACAAGATTACTGAATAGGAAATCAATTATTCTGTGTATTGCATTAATGAGAGTGGGTGCTAGAACAGTGTGTGTAGTTCTGAGGCTAAAGATCAGGAAGTGCAGGAAAGAGCTGCAAAATGATAGGAGACTGGAGGAAATATTTTACAATGATAAATATAAAAAGCCAGATTAATTTGGTCTACTAAAAGATCTAGTTAAGTTTTCTTTACCAACTGCAGTGTTCAAATACCTTCATAGGGAGCAAATGTCACATACTAAAGCTTTCTAAAATAGTAGAAAAATATAAAATAGTAGAAGAAAAATAAAATAGTGAAAGAATAAGAAGAATCAGTGGGTGGAAGCTGAGATAACCTAATTCAAACTGGAATTTAACAGTTTGAATCTTGTTTTAGGGACTGGTGATATGACTTAGTGACTGCTGGTGTAAAGGAGGTCACAGTGCGTGATCCAGTGATCCCTTTTAACCTTAAGCTCTCTAAGTGTTTTAGCCTGGTTCCAAGTGATTTGGCTGCCCCTCTCCCTTGCTCTATCTCCAATGACTGTAGACCAGTAATTAGTTCAGCTGTATGGAGCTGATCTCAATAATAATATTCTTCTGAAAGACTAAAGCACAGAATTGCACTCACGGGCCTGCGCAACACTTGATGGCAGCTCCCTGCAGTGCTGTACGTACCCACTGCGTAACCTCCTACACAGCCCATCAGGGTGCCCGGGCATGGACAGCCTTTCCCTTCACGTAGGCGCAGCTCATGAGATCCAATGAACGTTTTGGAACAGGGAAGGAAACAGGGACTATGAAGTGGAAACAGGGACTATGAAGTGGTTCAGCTGTGAGATGTGACTAGGGTTCACTAGTTCTGCTAGTTGTGATCTACTTTTCTAAGGGCAGATTCCAAAGTGATCTAATGTTATTACTGATCACATCAGAGTTATTTGTATTTGTACTATCTTCTGTAATTGTTAAATCGACAGGAATATTTGAAATCTGCATGTTTATTTAGTATTTAAAAATAGATTTCCATTACTGCTCCTATTAAACACCTGCTAGGTATTTGTGAGTATGCAGGCATTTTTCTAACTTTTTATTACTGCCTACACCCATGATTTTTGATCTACTGTTTTCTAATTGTCGTACCTTCTTAGTGAATTTCTGACTTTGTGTTTTCATGCAATTCATTTGCTGGATCTGCATAATGTTCCATGAGTTGTAATTTAATGACCTTTTTTTTTTTTATGATCTCTTTTTTTTTTTTAATGTGCTGAGGTTTTCAGGTACATCCTAGATTTTAGTTCTGTTTGTTTTTTTTTTTTTCCATAAAATTCTGTTGTGAATGTTATAACTTAAGACGAACACCACAGCTTTCCCAAATTTCCCCATCTCTGTAGGGCCTTTAATTTGTAATTGAAAAAAGATAGATCTAAACGCTATTCCTTGTGAAGGAAAATCCACCCAGTGAAGGAGCTGCGCATGAGCCCTGGAATAGGGACAATCCCACGGCAAGGCCTGAATGGGAACGGCATGCTTGTGGGCACAAGCAAATCAGTGTGTGATAAACAGGACACATGGCAGGACAGAATAAATCATGCTTAGGCGACGCTGCTCCTTCCTGTGCGGTGAGCTAGAAAGCTTAATCTAAATCCTTTCAGGGGCATGTGCTGAAACTTGCACCTGGAATCTTTACGTTTCTCTGAGAAGGTGGAGGTTAGGCCTTGCAAGCATGTTTAAAAGGGAGGCAGTATTATATGTGTGCGTATCCTAGTCTGCTGAATGTGCGTTTGGATATTTTATTGTTCCATAAACTAAATGCTTGTTCAAAAACAAGTGCTTCTTTTGTTTCACTGTATTAATCTGGAGATTAAATAAAGTAAGGGGTTTAATTGCCACCTTTTGGTTCAGATCACAAAACAATAGTAGCTGTGGTGTTGCTGTCAAGGCTTGTGTCACACACTTTGTCTAAAAATGACTTTTAGGGACATAATAAGAGATGGTGAATTTCTTGCCAGATTTAGGGAATCTACCCTGCTTAGCAAGAGAAGAAAAATGTGCAATACATTACATTGCACATCAGTGTATTATGGTACAATTGGAAAAAGAAGTGTTGAACTTGACTTTCACTAGAATAAATTGTTGTAAGCACTCACAGAATCTCCTCAGGGAAACTGCGTAACCTGCAATCATTAAAATGAGACTGCACAAACATGTAAGTGCCATTCTGCACTGGTACACAAAAGCTCTAATTGGTCCTTCCTGTCACTCGTTTATTTGATTTATATAAAAAGGAGCTGTACAAATAAGATGACTCAAATATAAAAAGTATATAAATATTAATTGTGAAATACGCTTCTGTGAGTCCTGAAGTAGGAAAAGGAATATTCAATATTTAACAGCTGAACTGAAGTGTGTTTCTCTAAAATAAATAAGTGTTCATGAAAGAGCAAATATGTTGACCACAGTACTGAACTATGTATTAAAAAAAAAAAAAAGGAAGAAGAAGAAAGAAAAGAGGTTTTCTTACCCACAAAATCCCTTATTTTGATTTTTAAGGTGGTGGTCTTTCACCATGATGATCCATATAGTAGAGTAAGCTGATACCTGTTGAAGCACCATTCAAATATGGCTCCATTCCTAAAACAGGTTTTCTGCAGTGCATGTTCTGTACTTTTTTTTTCTTATAATTCCTGTTGTAAATCCGTTCACTGTTCAAACCAAGAAACAAGTTTTAAAATATTTGAAGAAAAATTTTGTGAAGAAAAACTAGAAAACATTCATATTGAATTAATAGCAATAATACAGGTTTTGCCGTGAAAACATGCTCCTGTTTTTCTTGTTTATGAGGCAATATAGAATACATCTGACTTTCCTAAATTAGGAAAAAAATGGCCTGAGGTAGATGCTAAAAAATGGCAGATTATGGAAAGAACAGCAGTTTTTTGTTTTGATAGTGATGTGTTATCTTGGATGCGTCAGCCTGAAGCTATAAGCTCATGACAAAAAAAAAAAAAAAAAAAAAAAAAAAGAGAAAGATCTAATTCAGGAATTCAGAGAGACCTAATTTAGAAAACCTAATTCTGGGATTTCTAGGAAGAGTCCTCACTTAGTTTGATTACTCAGTGCTTTCCATTTCAAGATCCTCATTGCTGTGATTCCTGCATGTCCTTGTATTCAGCAACTGCAAGTAAACTCATCCGCTCTCATCTGATGCTGATCTCTCAAGACTGAAGCAGGACAAGGAACATGTGTTAGGTGTTGTATTTTTTTTTCTTCTTTGCCAAATGATAAACAGTCCACAACTAGTATATAAATCCTGCACCAGCACACCACCGGAAATATTTAGTGTTGTGAAGGTTCCTCAACCCAAAGATTAAAGCATGCTGATTTCAGGCTTTTCCAGTTAATGAGAAGAAGTTCGGAGCAGCTAGAGCCTTGCTCAATACTATAGAACAAACTGCTTTGGGATCTGAGATCTTTCTTACAGAAAGACAGAAACATCACTATTCGGTAAATGTTTCAATCAATAAAACTTCTCAGATTTTTCCTTTGAGAGTGAAGAGTGGGAGAACAATATATCACAGACACTATTGATATTACTAGTGGGACTTGCGATTAGGCCACCCAGAGGATGAAGTCAGCGTGAGAACTTAAACAGAACACAACAGCTACACAAGAATATTCCAGATCTCTCTGTATGTTCTCTTTCTCTGTTAATTTTTACACTAATATTGAGAAAAAAGTGGCACAGCAACTCTGTCTATAGCTCATTAATATTGAAATATTCTTAGAGAAGATCTTTTAAGCATTCTTAGGCAGGATTCAGATATGGACTAAACTCCTCTCAATTCTTAATTCAAAAAAAACAACCTTAATTATGGCCAAACATACTTGCTGTATTAAAATGAAAAAGAAGAAAACACAGATAAAGTGGTCTAGGTACAGGTAGATACATCTTTTCAGTTCTTTACCATATCTGTATCCATCTATATCTGAGTTAATTTCTTTTTCATCTTCATGCACCTTCTTCCTCTTCTTTCTCTCAATGTCTTAGCTAAGTACTTCATGTTTCTAATTCTAAGAGGAGAAAAAAATCCAAAGAAAATTAAATGGTACATGTCCCTGACAAAGTATAATCTTGGCAAGTGAAATCCTTAAATTGTGCTCTGTGATTTTTCATGTACCTATGAAATAGCAAGTAGAATATGCATGCTTGGCAAACCCTACAGATATATTTTATGTGCTCAAAATAAGCATTTTTTTTCCTGTCCGTTTAAAACACACATGCAGGTATGCAGCAGATAAAGCTCCATATTACTGTTATGGCAATTTCTGCAAGGTGCAGTAATAAATACTATCTCAATGGCTTCCGTCTTCTAAATCACATTATATAAATCAGATAAGAATATCTTAAGCTTTCTGCCAACTTCACACTTGTATGTTTCTGCGAATATTACAAAATCTTATCAAAATATCTTTTGAATTCCAATACATTTGAACTTTCAGTTTTCCAGTGTGCTTCTCTACATGCTTCTTGTGATTTCTTATTTGTGGGTTTATGTATTTACACGGGTTTTGTGCTAGACAACCTCAATCTATAGAGAATTAAATTAACATTCAGAAGATGAGTAAAGTAGTATCTGAAAGTCCTACTTTAAGAAGGTTGGTGTGTTACTCATATATAAAGAGGTGACGAAATAATCATTGACATTGCTGATAAAGTGCAAAAAAAAACATATTAGTTCACTAAAAGTGGCTTTGATGAAATTAATACCATGATACACTTTCCAGTCAAAAGTTAATTTATTCATTTATTTTTTCTTAAGTATTATTGTAGTAAAGTCTATTATTTAATATGTTTTAAGTATTCATTTACCACTAACTGGTAACAGTGATTAAATACGTGGAACATAACATGCAAACATTTTATGTTTTTGGAAGTGCAAATGGGGTAATCTGCCAGAAGATCTCTGGGCATGAATGTCCAGTCTCAATCTGTTGCCTCGGAGGCAGATTATAGGGGAGGCAAAATCACAGCCTGCAGTGAAGGAGAGACCATATGGGACACACAGCAGCCCCTGCGGCTTTGTGCCAAGCCTGTGCCAGGCAGGCCCATGCCTACGCTGGCCCCCTGACAGCTGCAAATGAGACATGCAGCTACATCCCTCTTACCTGCGTATCCAACCCCACTCTGCTGGGAGAAGATGCCTCCCCGGCAGAGCGAAAAGGGAGATGAGGTGTGTGCAAGTGGCAGCTGGGTTACACTTACTGCTGTCCCAACACAGATCAACGTGCAGCTCTTCCCTGGGCTGTCAGTGAAGTCTTGTGGCTATGTGAAAATGAAAAATATGTCTCTGCAGTAGGAAGTGTTTCATTCTAACCGCATTTATCTTCCACCAAGAACAATCACAAAGGATTGCACCTGAATGACTGGCAGCAATGTGTCAGGGAAGCGTAAACTGGCCAAGAGAACCCAAAGGCTGGATAATACCCAGGGAAAGTGAGTGGCAGAGCCTTTAGAAGAAAGGGACTAAAAACGTCTAAATACAGATACTTTCTTTCAGGATACGTCATTGACTGTGTCATCCCATGGAATAATCCATCTGAATCTAAGCATATTAGCTTCTCCAGTCAGTTATCAGTGTGCGTTAACACCATCTGTTTGTGGATGCAGATGATTTTATCTCTCATTAATGTAATGTAGTATTTAAATGTAGGCAGTCTCTGGCATGATGACTATCACCTATTTTTCATGCTAGGAGTGATTTCAAAGCGTTGGAGAAAGGAGTGGTTAATTAATATAGATAATTTTTCCTAACTTTTATACAGCTTTTATGAAGTTGCAGATTATATCTAGCCAATTAAAAAAATCTGAATACAGTTTTATTAGTAACATTTAAATGAAAATATTTACAAAAGTAAGCCATGATGATAAAGAGTAAGGATTGTGAAACTGAATGCATTAATTTAATGTGAAAGATAAAAACCTATCAAGTAGTATTAATTAGCTTGAAAGATTCCATTATAAATTGTACATTCCTTTTCTATACTAGTCTCATGCTTTGATTTTAACACGTTTTTACTGACTTTTGTCAAAAGGTAACATATTCTTATGTCAGCTATTAAAGGTAGAAAAAGATGATAGTAGGAGTCCAATTATTGGTGTAGGAGTATTGGAGTAGGAGATCCTTGCTAGTGAATTTAGCTGACTGGATCAGATTGTTTTTACTAAATCTTTGATGAGTATGGATAGATCTCAGGAAATCTACTCAGTGACAGAGAAGAGTAATTGTGTAGATTCCTTGGTTCACTGAGCAGTCACTGTTAAACGGAATGTCCTAAAGTGATGTTTGAGCTTAGCTCTGTGACTTCACACAAAGCACCATCAGTAAGTATCAGGTCAGCCAGATTTGCCAAGGGAGCAGTAGAGATTATTGCTCCTACAAATTGCTAGCAATAGACAGCTACTCACGTGCTGCACTCGGGAAGCAGAGGTTGCTACAGGCCTACATGGCAGCTGTGACCTCTGAGTGGAGTGGCGTATCTGTCTCCTTCAAGTCATGTGCTGCAGTTTGCTGTGGCTCACATCACAGTGAGCCACACAGAAAGGAAACAGTAGCCAGAGAGGACGAGTTTATCAGGAGGATGTGGGGTACATCTGCCCATCACTAACATGCTTCCAACACCTTGTTCGGGTTTCCACTGACATAAAAATCATGCAATTACATGGCTCTTCTCTTTCGACTGAATGTGTCTGACCTGGCACTCCCCTGTGTGCTACATCAGAGAGATTTCTACCAAAGTATCACACTCTCCGCTCATAAAGGACACTAATATATAAGTGAGGTTCAGACCATATTCTGTGCTCTGAAAAAAAAAAAATCTGATGGGAGATTTAGAGTCTGATGTACTTTGTAGTGTTCATAATTGCATGCACAGAAGGAGATTTCTAGTAGTAGGTGTCTCTAATCTTGTAGAATAAATATGACAAGATTAAATGATTGCAAGGAGCTAAAAACATTCAGATTCAAAATTATATTGGAGAAAAGGGGGTCAGAGAAGGGATAGTTAAAAGGAAATAATTAAATATTCAAAGGCTTACTTTCAGATGCTTACATCTCTCTCACTAGAAATTTTTAATAATATTCAGATGTGTTTCTAAAAAGTAGTAGAAATTAATGTAAAAGTTACTGGGTGATATTTGGGGCATAGGTTATAGAGATCAGCCTACATGATCATGTGGTGTTTTACTTAGATGGCCACTGTTCCAGAAGTAGTGGATTTTACTGCTTCAGCCAGAAGTTAAACTAATGAAGCACAGAGGAGATCTACAAGCAGACAGGCACTCTGGTAATGATTGCAGTCATTGGCGGAGAGAAAAGCAAAACGTGACAGATAGCCAAGTTGCAATGTATTTCAGGACTCAACTGCCCTAAAAATCTCAAGTTCTCTTTCAGCAGCAGTGGTAGCCTGCTATTGTCACATGTGAAGTCAGGAAATTACAAGGATTTAAAAGGAAAATTCTGAAAAAAGACATTTCTTCAGATAAACTGCTTGTTCTACTGCTTGTAGACCTTTTCCCCCTTGATTATTAACTTCTTAGGCATTCTTCAGAAAACAAAACTTTATTTTAGTAATTCTTCCTTCTTTGCAACATCAACCTGTCTTCTAACATCTGATATGTTGAAGATTATCTTTTATACTGAATTTCCAACAATCATCATAGAATTCATAGCACACATGGAGCGCTCACTTAACTGTATCTTCTTCTCTTTGATGAATCTCCAGTTCCTAGTCATCATCTTATTCTCCAAGATGTAAGGAACTAGGCCTGGTAGATTCTCTATGCAGCAGAAGCTTTGCCGCAGCAGCAGAGAGGCTTTACCTAGTGTGTGAATGCAGGCATAACTTTGTCTGATACTGTTGGTGTAAAAGCAGACTTATGTAATTTGATTTTCTTAATATATTTTATATCTCATTTAATATATTTAATAAATTTATTTACATGTAAACACATTGAAAATCCTCCTAACAAGGTCTTCCATATCAGAGCTTTCATGCAGATTTTGTTTGCTATATTGTGATGCTTTTGCTTAGCTTGTACTTTCTCTAGATAAATAGAGGCTTGGCTCTTAGGTTCGTGACCATTGTTTCCAGAATATGTAGATTTAATTAAATATATATTTAAACATGGTTATATTATATGTTATTATGTATTTGATTTTTATATTTTTATATTCATATAAAATGATTTTGAATGCACATGTATTCATGCACATACATGCGTTCACCAAACTTTCTGTTCTTTTTCTTATCTCAATTGCCATTTAGGAATTAATTACATACAGTTAACTTGTTGACACAAACAAAAACTGCATTTGTATATTCCTCTGTGAAAGATGCAGGCAATTAGCCTGCTGTCACTGCATCGCCTTGTGTTTGTCCGTCAAGCCTTCCCAAACCCCTGTTACACACACATGTTGCTCTGTGCTGCTTACTGTTCTTTCTTCACAGCATAGGCTAAAGAGCATCAATTTCATTGTATTTTACAATAAAGACGCATTGTCAAATTGTACAAGAGGCATTTGTTTTATCAGTGTATTTTTGCCAGCCAGTCTTTATATTCTGCCACATTTTGTCAGAAGTCATGGAATGTGCAGTTTTTATTTTCACTCTTTTTCCTTTGAAGAAAATTCCTTGGAGAAAAAAAATGGAGAAAATTTCCAGCTTCCTTTGGAAATTTGGAATAATTCATTCGGAATTATTTTCACATGCAAATCTTCTTTTTGTAGGATGGGTAGAATTGCGCTATCAGTTTTTAAATTTTTGGTACTTCTTTACATATTGCCTTATATTACATATAGATAGCACAGACAAATAGCTAAACCTCAACAGTTTTGATCTACTACTATTTAAAGTGGCCCAGGGCTGTTCCAAGGCAATGGGCATTGCAATTGAATTTGAATGTAGAAATACCTAAAGAAAGGAGACCTCAGGAAGTGTAAAAGCAGCATGTACCCATTATCCTTTGCCAGATTTCAGGTAACCAGCGAGTCCAGTTAGTTCTCAATAATCACTGAAGAGATTGCAAAGCTATTTACTTCAGCGTGGTAGTCGCATACCTGTGAGCATTTAGGAGGCTCTCTGGCACCTGTGTAGTCCTTCACATGGAGGAACCAATAATAAGATGTGCCATGTGCTTCACAGGCTCCTCATAGACCAGTTAATCAATCATCAGATGCCTGTCTGGTGGAAGAGAACAGAACAAAGAGTCTGTTGGCTTTGTAGCTGAGGGAGTGAGACCAAGGTCTTCTGCTGTGAAATGGAGACCAATCTCAAATATCTCTAATATCTGGTGAAGAGGGGCTGAGCCTGAGACCTCCACTATTGACTGCACTCAACTGTGTGACCACAAACACCCTGTGGCCACAGTGACTGTTTTGTGGGACAGAGGAACACAGCTCAACTCTTGCTGTCAGGGAGATGGTCTTAAAAGGCATCAGGACCACTCTGAGTTCCTGCAGTACTCTGCCTGGTAGCATTAGGACTCAGGATAGCAGGAAGGTCATGCAGATGGTGAGATGCCCAGAAGTGAGAACTGTGAATCTGGGAGAGGGAGTATTAATACTTTTGTTGTGGAATTTGTTTGGAATACTCAGTGTCCCTATTTCTTCCCTTTAAGGACATGGTATTACAGACTGCACAGGCAGACAATAGATAGTACAGACTCAAGGCCTGAAGTGATACAGCAAGGTGAGTTACCCCCATCAGCTGCTGCATTTCATAAGAAGGGATATATTTTGTGATTCAAACTGTCTGCACATTCCACTGTCAGCCTATGGTCAAGTTCGGCCATCTCTTCTAGCTAAGCAACTATCAGAAGGATTTGAAGGCAAGAGAAGTGGAAAATGTGGGAGGAGAAGAAGTGGCAACGTGCAGCCTGAGGGCGATTAAAAGGGACTTTAGGGAATTGGGGCAGACAATTAGGAACTCAGGCGCGCAGGTCATATTCTCTTCCATTCTTCCCAGTGATGGCAGCAATATAGAAAGAAGAGGACATACTCCATTAACACGTGGCTCTGTGGCTGGTGTCATTGCCACAATTTTGGTTTCTTCGGTAACAGGAAGCCTTACAGTGTCAGGCATGATGGAATCTAATGGGATCCATCTTTCTCAAAGGGGTAAGAGAGCTCTGAGACATGAGCTAGCAGGGCTCATTGAGAGGCCTTTAAACTAGATTAGAGGTGGGAGGGGGGTATCATCGGGGAAGCAAGCTATGGGGTAGGCGACGGCCTGCCACGCCACTTGCAGCTGCCTTACTCCACAGCCTGTGGAGAGTGCCCTAAGCCTGACGAGGTGAGATGGGAAAACAAGAGAACTTCTGAAGGCCTGCATGGTCAAGTTCCAGCTGCCCCAGCAAGAGAGAGGCACACTGGCTGCCCAACTCAAATGCCTCTATGTAAACGCATGCAGCATGGGGAATAAACAAGCCGATGTATGTGCGATTGCAGGGCCATGATCTCATTGCAATCACTGAGACATGGTGGGACAGCTCTCATGACTGGCACGTGGCTATGGATGGCTTCAGGCTTTTCAGGAAGGACAGACCAGGAAGGTGAGGTGGCAATGTTGCTCTTTACATGAGAGAGCAACTGGAATGCATGGAGCTCCGCACAGGGGAGGATGAAGCGCGGGTCGGGAGCCTGTGGGTGAGTATAGGGGCGACACTGTCGTGGAAGTTTACTACAGACCTCCTGACCAGGGAGAGGAAGTGGATGAGGCCTTCTACAGGCAGCTGCAAGAAGCCTCACGATCCCAGGCCCTGGTCCTTTTGGGGAACTTCAGCCACCCTGATGTCTGCTGGGATAATCACACAGCTAGGAGCAGACAGTCCAGGAGGTTCCTGAGATAACGTCTTGATGCAGGTGGCTAATGAGGCAACAAGGGGAGAGGCGCTGCTAGACCAAACAGAGATGGTCTATAGAGTGGGAAATGTAAAGGTTGGGGACAGTCTTGGCTGCAGTGACCATGAGATGCTGGAATTCACGATCCTACGAGGAGGAAGCTGGACAAGAAGTAGGATTGCAACCCTGGACTTTAATAGAGATAACTTTGACCTCTTCAGGGAGCTCCTTGGAGGAATCCCCTGGGCAAGCGTCCTAGAAGGAAAGGGGGTCCAGGAGAGTTGACTACTATTCAAGCACCCCTTTCTCCACGCTCAGGATTGATGCATTCCTGTAAGAAAGAAGTCCGGCAAGGTGGGCACGAGACCTGCGTGGATGGGCAAGGAGCTATTGGGTAAACTCAATGAGAAAAAGAGCACGTACGTGAAAGAAGGGCCAGGTCACATGGGAAGAATATAGGAACAGTGTTAGAGAATGCAGGGATGCAACGAGGAAGGCCAAGGCCCATTTGGAATTAGAGTTAGCGAGAGATGTCAGGGGCAACAGGAAGGGCTTCTACAAATACATCAGCAGCAAAAGGAAGACTAAGGAAAGTGTTAGTCTGCTGCTGAATGGGGTGGGTGCCTTGCTGAGGGAGGATGCAGAGAAGGTAGAGTTGCTAAATGCCTTCTTTGCCTCAGTCTTTACTGCTAAGGCCAGGCCCCATGAACTGAGGCTGGAGACAAGGGAGAGAACCAAGAGAAAGGAGCACTTTCCAAGGGTCGAGGAGGATTGGGTTAGGGATTACTTAGGCAAACTGGACACCCGGATCTATGGGCATCTATGGGCCCGGATGGGATGCATCCAAGAGTGCTGAGGGAACTGGCAGGGGTCATTGCTCAGCTGCTCTCCATCATCTTTGAGAGGTCATAGGGAGTGGGGGAAGTACCGGAGGACTGGAAGAAAGTGTCACTCCACTCTTCAAAAAGGGCAAGAGGGAGGAGACGGGCGGCTACAGGCTGGTCAGCCTCACTTCCGTCCCTGGAAAGGTGATGGAACAGCTCATCCTAGAGACCATCTCCAGGCATGTCAAGGAAAAGAAGGTGATCAGGAATAGTCAGCATGGATTCACGAAGGGAAAGTTGTGTCTGACGAACCTGATAGCCTTCTACGATGATGTGACTGGCTGGATGGACGAGGGGAGAGCTGTGGATGTTGTCTACCTTGACTTCAGCAAAGCTTTCGACACAGTCTCCCATAACATCCTCATAGGAAAGCTTAGGCAGTGTGGACTGGATGAGTGGACTGTGAAGTGGATTGAGGACTGGCTGGATGGCAGAGCCCAGAGGGTGGTGATAAATGGGGCTGAGTCTGGTTGGAGGCCTGTGGCCGGTGGTGTCCCGAAAGGGTCAGTACTGGGCCCAGTGCTCTTCAGCTTGTTCATCAGTGACTTGGACGAGGGCACAGACTGCACCCTCAGCAAGTTTACAGATGACACCAAACAGGGAGGACACTCCCGAGGGCTGCCCTGCCATTCAGAGAGACCTAGACAGGATGGAGAGTTGGGCAGAGAGGAACCTCCTGAGGTTCAACAAGGACAAGGGCAGGGCCATGCACCTGGGAAGGAATAACCCCAGGCACCAATACAGATTAGGGGCTGACCTGCTGGAAAGCAGCTCTGTGGAGAGGGATTTGGGAGTCCTGGTTGACAACAGGTTAACCATGAGTCACCAATGTCCCTTTGTGGCCAAGAAGGCCAATGGGATCCTGGTCTGCATCAGGAGGAGTGTTGCCAGCAGGTCGAGGGAGGGGATCCTGCCCCTCTACTCAGCTCTGGTGAGGCCACACCTGGAGTATTGTGTGCAGTTCAAGAAGGACATTGAGCTTCTAGAGAGGGTCCAGCGGAGAGCCACGAAGATGACTAAGGGACTGGAGCATTTGTCATATGAAGAAAGACTAAGCGAGCTGGGTATGTTTAGTCTGGAGAAAAGAAAGCTGAGAGGAGATTTGATCAACATGTTCAAGTACCTGAGGGGTGATTGTAGGGAGAAAGGGGCCAGGCTCTTCTCTGTGGTGGCCAGTGACAGGACAAGGGGTAATGGGTGCAAGTTGAAACCCAGGAAGTTCCATCTCCATATGACAAAGAACTTCTTTCCTGCGAGGGTGACAGAGCCCTGGAACAGGCTGCCCACAGAGGTTGTGGAGTCTCCTCTGGAGATCTTCCAGACCTGCCTGGATGCCACCCTGTGCCACGTGCTCCGGGTGTCCCTGCTGGAGCAGGGGGGTTGGACTAGATGATCTCTAGAGGCCCCTTCCAACCTCAACCATTCTATGAAAATAAACTGCCTTTCCCTGTTAAGAGTGATAACCCCATCTTACTGCAGCTACGGTCTTTTCAGTAACTCTGGCAATCATTACAAAAGCATTCTTTCTGTGAATAAGCACAGTATTTTGGGTACATGAGTCCTGCCAATAGCCTACATGAGTATGGTGTTCTCAGATGCATTGCAATATTGGGTGCTGCTCTTTCACAACAGCCGTGTGTACTACTGTGGTAACAACTGATTTGTCAACAAGACTCTGATTGCACAGAGTGTATATGACACATAGGAAGTGTGATGTTTTCAGTTTCGCCTAGTTTGCCTGCAGCATCTGTTTGCTCTGCATCGGCCCAGCAAGTGATATGGTCCTGGGAACTGGCTGCACTGATGCTCTGTAGTAGCTCTTCATGCACTCAGGAGGAGGATGGTAACCTCAAAATCGTGTGACAATCAACTCCACTGCGTGCAGATAACATGCTGGACATACTGCGCTAGACAAAGCATATGCATACACTTTTGTCCTACACTAAGAAATTCTGTTTTCTTACCTCTCTTCTCATCTTGTGACTTGTTAACTGTTCTCAAGTCTTTTTTAACTGAGCAGGTTTGATCTCCTTGAATGTCTCATTTTTTCTTCTCTTCACTCATTTTTGCAGTTCATTCATTGCTGAAATTTCTCCAGTATCACAACATCCATCTTAATTAACATGCTGGTAAAAGACAGAAGAAAATGCTGATCTGCTACTCAAAGGGAACAGAATATGGGGGAAAATATCAATAGGTCTTATCCAAGAGTTTGAAGAAATCAAGATCTTTTCTTCTTTATTTTTTTCGTTCCACCTTTACTACAATTTCTGCTAACAACATACTAACCGTGCTGGTCTAGGTAGAGCATTATTTGGGTACAGTGTTTATTTGTTTATGTGGCAAAGTGGCATGAGTGGAGGAGGTAAAAAGCATAGCAAAAAGAGTGAAGCTGCCAAATAAAGGTACAGGAGAATGTATTTGTATTTTTGTAAAATGCCTTTCTAAAGGAAGGTGGTTGATTCTACATGAACCTGATTTGGCAGAGCACATTCTCAGAGACATTAAATTCTTACAGTCTTTGTGCAAATCTGCAGATGAATAAAAACATGAGACAGATAGGGCAGTCTCTGCTGTGGGAAGGC